GATTAAAATGGGAGAAATCTTGCTAATTATATGTCACAGAAGAGCAAAATTCTATTCAAATGTGTACCTCTCTTTACTGTAAGGCATAGAGAATGCATGACGGTTTTTCCTTGATTTGCCCATATAATTGGTAATGGGTGATAATTTAATAGATGTGTGTGATATAAAAGTAGTATATCTTGTTCTACCACTTGATGTTATCCCTTCCCTTTTCTGCAAAGGTACTATTGGCTGGAAGAAAAACATTTTAGTTAGCTTTGTATGACAGTAGTCTTTCCCGATATAGTTTTTCTATAAAAACTGGTTTTATAATCATGAGTGGAAAAGGGCAGGTTGAATCGAGGTGACTGAATCTTAAACTGAGCGCACCCGCCTGCCATCGCTGTTCCTTCAACTGAGTGCTGCACATCATGGGCTCTGTCTGTGAGAGAAAAATCCCGGTGCTTGGTGTCCTTGCATGACATGGAGTTTTGCATGTAGATCAATTTAAAATGTACCTCTTGTTTACATAATTTGCATAATTTTAAAAGACAATGTTGCCAAACTTTGGAAATGTTAATATTCAAACTGAAAATCTCCACTTCATGTAACTTTCTTCCTCTGGATCAGTACGTGGCTTATAATCCCAGCCAGTGGTTTAATCTGTTCCAGTGTCAACTGCCATGTGCTCTGCTTCAAGGGGGAACCTAGTCTTTTGTGAATTTTTTGTACATAAGTATTTGTTACAAATATTTTAGCAAATGCTTTCTATTTCTCTTGCTTGTGCATATCTTGGCTGGCGTTACAGAAAAATAGTGCAAACATTATTTCCTTACTGGGGAATGGGTTTTTTTCCTTTCCTTTCTTTCTTTTTTTAGTTTGTGTGTGGGTTGGGTAGGGGAGGGGTGGTTTATGTTGAATGTTTAGTTTTTCTTCTGCATGATACGTCATGTTGTGGGATCTTTAGAAAACTTCATACTGTATGAATAAGAAAATAAAATATTTGAAACTTGCTTGTATGTATTCAGTTGTCTTTGGTGGGTTTCCACAGCCATAAGATAGTTTTTGTTCATTCTTTCAGGTTTTCTATGAACTCAGAAGTGGTACTTGATCTTTTAAGTCTTGGGTAAAATCTTCATCAGAGGGTAAAAAGTCACTTGTCATGACAAAAACATACAAAGCCTGTGGGACTCTTTACTCCCCCCCCCCCATTATTTCCTTGCTCTCACCCCTTACTATTCACCCTTTCTCTGCTCCAGCCCTTCAACCCTCCTGTGGCACCTGGAGTCTGGCTTGCTTCCATGGCAGACTTTCTAGTCTTGTGCTCTCTGCTCCCGCTGCACCCCACTCCTATACCTAATGAGTGTCTTCACGTCTATGTTTAGTTATGTCCTGGCTCAAAAAGAACTCTCCTGGTCACCCTATTTAAAAATACAAATTCACCTGGGTTTCTTTACTACTGTTTTTTTTTTTTTCCTTTTCTGACATCATTTACTTGTTTTGTCTTCCCTACCTAACGAGTAAAATAAATGAATGCTCTACAAAGGTAGTGATCTGTCTGTTCACTGCTGGCTCCAGTTGTCTAGAATATTACCTAGTTCTTAAGTGTTTACTCAGTATTTAATGAATGAAGTAGCATGTAACATCTTGTTTTTTCTGGTTATGATTTTATAATAAATGCTACTCAGAACTTTCACTGCATAAAAATTAGTTTTTGAGACTCATTCAACAACTTTGACTTAGTAACTCTATACAGTACTTCATGTCCAGCACTGTAACAACAGGCGCTTGAGATATTTGTGACATCCCTGGTGCAGATGAGTTGTGGGATTTTAGGGATGTATTGTACCTAGAATACCCAGATTGTCAGGTGCGTGCTAGTTAAAGGACTGGGTTCTGTGGCTCCTTAGAGTGTCCTAGGAGTATAGATTTGTTAAGCCTGAACAAGTAGATGGAAAAGCCCCAGAGCTCCCTTTATCTCCTTTTAACAAAGAGTCAACACCTATCTACAAAGTGAAATAAATGGCAACTCACGGAATGGGGGAAAATGGTTGCAAATATTCTGATAAGAGATTGATACCCAGGATATATAAAGACCTCCTCTTCAACTCAAAAATGAAAATCTTGATTAAAATATGAAGAACTTGAATATATGTTACTGCAAAAAAGATATAAATATGGCCAGTAAGTACATGAAAAGGTGCTCAGCATCATTAGTGATTAGAGAAATACAAATCAAAGCTACAATTAAATGCCTCCATATCCATTAGGATGGACTATTACCAAAAAACTCGCAGAAAACAAGTGGTGCTGGGAGACTGGAACCTGGGTGCATTGCCAGTGGTGATGTAAAATGGCGCAGCCACCATGGAAAAGGTATGATGGTTCCTCACAATAATCACAGGATCCAGGAATTCCATTTCTGGATATATAACCAAAGGAAGTGAATGCAGGGAGTCCACATAGGTATTTGTACATCTGTGTTTTTGGCAGCATTGTTTACAACAGCCAAAAGGTAGAAGCAGCCCAAGTATCATCTAGAGATGAATGCATAAAAAGCAGAATATTAGCTGTTAACATCAAGGTAATTTTGATACAGGCTATAACATGGGTGATCCTCAAAGACTTTATGCTAAGTGAAATAAGCCGGTCAGAAAGAGCACACATTTTGTGATTCCACTTAAATTCCTGTAGCTGAAAGCCGAGGACAGGAGAAATGAAAATCTATTTGAGATAGAGCTTTAGTTACTGAAGATAAAGTTCTGGAGATGGATGACAGTGATTGCACAATAATGTGAATGAACTTAATGTTGCTGAATTTATGTACACTTAGAAAAATGAAAGTAGTACATTTTACATATATTTTACAGTTTTTTTTTTTAAATCTTTCTAGATAGTTTCTGGGACTTAAAAAAAAATGGGTCTTTGAGCTCACGTCTTTATACATTAACCTTTAGTCTTCAAAAACATCTACACACTTAAAATGTTCTTATTACAGTAGCTAAAATTTAAGTTCGAGTCCATTTTCATTTCAACCTTTCACTTCCCTTGGGCCTTAAAATCTGTGAGCTAACCAGATCAAATAGGTGTCCCTGTTCTCAAGCCTCCAGAAGACCTAGTGATTTCTTTGATCAGAGCAGTAATTTGCATGGGCACAGTGGAAGTGTTTTGCAGGTCATAGATGGCTGTTGTATGCATCCCATTTGCTTCCAGTAACTTAAGCATGCTGTCCCTATCTAAGCATGGTTAACATGGCTCTAGGATCAGGAAAATGAAGTTTCTTTACCACATGCCCAACAAGCATGATCTTTCTTCCCTACCATCCTAGTTCTAGGTAGCATGAGAGTTGTGAGTCTCATGCCACCTAGAATATCTTGTAGTGACCAGGAGGAAATCCAACAGTCTCTTCCCTTTTCAGCCACAAATTTATCTCAGAAAATACTCTTCTCCTAGGCTCATCCCCCAGGCGGTGTGTCATTCAATACATGTATGAACTGTTAAGTCAGGAATGTACTAGACATGAGGCCTTACAGACATACATAATAATTACAATATAGCACAACAAGTGCCATAGAAATATCCGTAAGCATGAATAAGGTTTGAAATAGTGTCCTGGCCCTTCAGGGAAAAGTTTAATCAAGTTATTTGACCCACATTGTTAAGATCACCTGCCAGTATGATACAATCAAATTTAATACCTCTATTTCTAGTTTATCCTTTTGCATCTCAAGAATTATTTGGGTTATCTCTAACATTTTCTCTCCTTTCAAGCCCTAATTAGTACTACTACCCCCACCCCAGGGGCAGGGGAGATACAAACACTTGCTAAGGATGGGCCCCAAATCAAGCATCCCAGCTGTATTTAGACAGCTTTCAGGGAAATACATTTGCTCCCCTGTACTACTAGTAGTTCTACTACCTCGAAGATCTTCAAAATGAAGTTAATTCAGTTATTTCCCTTTAATATAGAACTCATACTTCCTAATCTAAATCATCCTCTTAACTTCCTGCCTCAGTACCTTAAAAATCAATCCCAAAACCTTTATGGTTACCTACTTACAGTTCATTCTGGCCAAGTGTTTTGAAAACCTGATTAAAGCTGAGGACGTTAACTGAGAAAGTACACACCAAGTAGTCATGATTTTGAACATACTTCCTGGGCAAAGGGTGAGGGTGTGCCAGTACATCTGGCAGCCTTCACAGGCTCCAGACTATGAAAGCCTCAAACTGCAGTTGACATCATATACGTACTTTCTCCATGCTGTTGTGCTGCAACAGGAAAAAAATGGGCAGGGACATTTTCAGCAACTTTCAACTGAATTCACAGTATGTAAGTATATCCATCCAATTCCATGTTATGTACAAACTAGCTGGGAATCATCAGTTAACTTTTTTTTTCTTTAACCGATCTCTCCATACTGAACCTCAAAACATTCTATAATGGACATACTCTTGACGATGTGAATGTTACTTTTTTTTGCATTATTGTTCAATATTTCGTTGCAGCAATTGTCTGATTTCTGAATGTATTTATCTTTGTTCATTTTTTTTTTTTATTGAATGGTAACTATGTACATTAATGCACTTCTGGGGTACAGTGTGGGGTTTTCACATGCAATCTGAAATACTTCCATCAAACTGGTCAACATAGCCTCTTTGTTCATTCTTTACAAGGTTTTTGTTTCTAGTCCTTAAACATTGTTATTTTTATTAAATATTAAGCCTTTTTGATTTTGTGATGTTAAATATTAAGCCTTTTTGATTTTGTGACATGTTAAAAAAAAAAAAAACTAGCTGGGAACAATGACACATATAACTGATACAAAGGAAACAAGCTAAGAATACTTTTAGTTCTTCCAAGAATTTTCTAACACTCTCATCAAAGTTCAAGTTTTCAACAAGAGTTTTAAAGATGTACGAGATTGTATCAAAATCATGTTTAAAAATAAGTTCCTTCCATTTAAAAAGGAAAATAATCACATTTAAATAGGCAGACCCTAATAAAAAATCTATTGCATTTCTAGAACTGTTTTTATTGGCAGAGGAGACATTCTTGTACTTTCATCCTTACTATGGAGTATAGCTTTATGATGGCTCCACTTACAATTTTTCAACTTTACATAGATGTGAGAGTGATAGGCATTTGGTGGAAGCTGGGCTTTGAGTACCCACACAGCCATTTTGTTTTTCACATTCAGTAGAGTACTCAATACATTTTCTAAGAAATTCAGCACTTTATTAGCTTGTGGTCGATGATTTTGCCTAACCACAGGCTAAGTGTTCTGAGTAAAGTTCAGGACGTCAGGTGTATTAACTACATTTTTGACTTGTGATACTTAAACTTACAGTAGGTCTATTCAGGTATCATTGTATTGTAAGTTGAGGAGCATCTATATACTCAACATTGGCAATGTCTTGACTAAATACTTCCTGGAAAAATAAGAAACTTTCCTCACGTCAACCTTGTAATGTAGGTCTTGGATTTTAAAAACTGCACATCAGTACAAAGATTAACCCTTATTAATTCATATACAACAGCTAAGACCACTGTTTATGACCTGATTTTAAAATACACACCACACCACACAGTTTTGAGAACAGGTTTCACAGAAGGATTTCTGAAACGATTCTTTTAATTAAAATTTATAAATTTTCTATAAAATGCTATAAATTCACAAATAACTTATAAATTCACACAAAACTGTTTAAGCAAGAAGCCTCCCTCCAAATGAGAGGATTACAAGCTACATAGATCTGCGATTGTGTGACTTAAAATGAAAGTAATTATAAATTATACCTAATGTGTAAGAATAATAAAAATACTAAATTTTGATATGTAAATAAATACACCTAAAAGCTGTGGTGTGTGAAGGCTGTTAAACCTTTCCTTTCTGTTTATGCTCTGGCAGAGAATGGAAGAAGTGACTGAGGCTTAAAGTGACTGAAATTCTTCACATGGTTTCTTATGACCAATTGTAGAATGTCATGTCTTTTTCTTGGAGTCCAAAGATAGAAAGTCTCTGATTTGACATTATAATCGATCTGCTGCTCTGCTAGCCACAGCTCTAATATTGCCATAAACCTTTGATGGAGGATTTCCTGCAGAGGAGAAAAAAAAAAGGAGTCTATATATTCAAATATACTCACATGTACAGCAACTACAGTTATCCCTTGGTATCTATGGGAGATTGGTTCCAAAACATCTAAAGAGTGTAAAATCCCTTATGAGAAATGATGTAGTATTTGTATAGAACACAACACACATTCTCTCATACACTTTAAATCATCTCTAGATTACTTATAATACCTAATACAATGTAAATGCTATGTAAATTATTGTTATATTGTACTTTTTAAATCTGTAGTATTTTTTTCTTTTTATGTGTTTGTAATATATTTTCAATTGGGAGCTGGTTGCATCTGAAGATGCAGAACCTGGAGATACAGAGGGCCAACTGTACTGGGGAAAGGGTCTATAACTCTAGAAAGAACAGCTTTTTGAGGGCTTCACTTACAATTTTTTAAAGTTGGATCTACCTTAAACCAAAAAAGCTTTAAAGGAATTCATACGCAAATATTCTCCAAAAAACATTTTAAATTTCTAAGAGCCAAAAGGTACTGAGTTGTTAAAATATTTCAAAACGGGGCAGTCGGCCAGGCCTGGGGACCAAAGCAGAACCCCACAGATTTTCTAAGCTAGCTGCTAAGATTCTATAACTCTACCATAAGGCACTGGCTTTAATGCAAATCATGCAAATGGTATTAAACGGATCAATTAACTTGATGGAAGCTATTCAGCAGCTCCTTTTTTGTTGAACCTAAGATGTGATGTTCCCTGCTGTTCTGGAACGGCTTCTCTGTGTACCTCATCAGGAAAGCAGCAAAGATTTAAGCAACAGTGCCCAGCAAATACTTTCTCTCTAGCAGACAGACAAATGGAATCTAAGCAAAAATATTTACACTTTTTTCTCCAGGTCCATATTTGCCAGCTCCCAACGGTTTCTACTTGCTATGTTTAACATTACTCTGAAGTGCTTTAGAAATGCTGTTTGAATTCCTAAATTAATTCCCTATTCTTTCCAGAGAAAACCCAAAAGAAATGAACTGCTATTACCCAAGATGAGATTGCAAATGGCAGTTCTTGCCATCTTGATGTTTTGGAAAGAGCCAAGGATATGAACTTTCCTGAAAAAAATAAAATAACGCAAATTAGCAACAGAAGCATTTCTTCCCTTAAGTCCTGTAAGCCAAAAACTGGAAAATCTTGATGGAGCTAGAGTCCAAAATGAAGGTGGTAGTGATGGTTGCATAACTCTGCAAACATGCTAAAAACCACTTTTTAAAAAGATGAATTTTATGGTCTATGAATTATACCATTAAAAAATTAGAAAAAGATAAAAAATAAAAAAACTAAACTAAAAAGTTCTTTAAGGTTTGTTAGTAATGACTACAATCGAGTAACTTGGGCTAGGGGCTTCACAGACATTAAATCCTCACATGACTTTGATTAGGTACACATATTCCCACTTTACAGATAAATACGTTTCCAAGAAATCAAAACACCTGCCCAAGATAATACACTGGCAGAGCTGATTACTAGATTCTTAGAAATGCAAGTAATGCTGTACTCAATTACAACATATTTGGGTTTCAAAAGCAAAGCTTTCTAAAGATTATCTGAATTTAATACTCTGAGGATCATCCAGACCTTTTAAGGGGCTTTCCTTACTTAAATTACTCAAATAAGATTGATAAGAGGAGAACTGCCTTTTTGAGTCCATCTATCTTCCAAAGTGGTTTCACTGTGCCTTCTACAGTGGTCATCAGCTAAACCCTCCACATCTTTCACTTGTTACCATTCCCTTCACCTTGTTTTAATTAAAACACAACTTTCAAAACGTGGCCAAGTTTTCCTGTACATACCACATATCACTGGACCTGGGGTGGGGGCAGATGCCTTCCAGCTCTTCATGCCACATAAATGCAGACCACGTGCCCCACACTTCCTCCCTAAAACACCTTCAACTTTGAATCTTATCTCAGCCCACATCACCTACTACCCTGCCTGACTGAAGTCCTCAGAGCTCCTGTGGATCATCCTCAAAGATCAGCAGCTGACTTTAGCTGCTGACTCACGTTCTCTCACCATTCCCATCATCATTCTTAATTCCACTATCCAAGAAGGTGGTAATTCTAACGCCCAAACCTTGTGGTCCTTGGCATTCTTAGTTTATAACAATATTGGATCTTTTTGTCTACCCTATTCACCTAGCCTCTCCCCTCCACGGTCACACCCTAGAATTGGTTATTACCAAAAACTGCAACTCCTCCATAATTTCAATTTCAAACGTCCCACTCTCTCCACCACCTTCAATAATTCTAGTTTATACCACTTAATAAATATCAATAATTCTTAGACCCTACCAGAACTTCCCAACTACTGACCCCACCCACCTGCTCTGCCCCTCACATCCTGTCCTCCTCAGCCCCACTTACAATCATCCAGTGACTTCCCATGTACTTGAAGCAAAAAACAAAGTCCTTGTGGTGAGCTCAAGGTCCCATGATTCTTGACCTCATTCCCTACCACTTTCCCCCTTGCATATTTTGCCAAGCCAGTCAGTCCTTGCTCTTTGACAGACATGCTCTCAACTCAAGACCTCTGTGCTTTTTCTTCCCTCTGTAATGCTCTTCCTCCAGACACCTGCAGATGGATTAACACATTTAGATATGCTCCTTCCCCAAAATTCACTAAAATGACAGTAAAGACATAAACCCAAAAGAAGTAAGAGGAGGGTAACAGTACGAAAGGCTGAAAGGAAGATGAGCAGATGGATGGGCAGGAATTGACTTTTCAGACCCAAATACAACTAACTGATGCCTGAACTGCCAGTGCGAACATCGAGAAACAGACTCCAGAAGGGACGGACCAAAGGATTCTAACAGCAATGAGGCCATACCAAAGGAGAACCCAGGATGACGACAGTGTACCAAGGATGAAAGCAGAGAGGGTGTCTACAATGTCTGCTGCGTTTGAATACACAACAGGAAATAAAGACAATGCACAGCTTTTTAGGGAATTGTAATAGCACGCTGAAAATTAAGAAAGCATGCAGACACCTAAGAATTAGTTCCACAAGGGGCACATTTTCTCAGGACCCCTTGAGCCCCTGTGTTCTGGCCCAGACACAGGCATTCAACACGGAATAAAGCTCTTTAAATAAATAAATAAAACCTCAAGTGAAAACTGTGGGGCAAAGGAAGGATAAAGCAATCACAGTGTTCCATCTGACTTGGCTATAAATATTCTGAACACTGATTTTTGTTTTCAGGTAAGACTGAACACTCATCTACCAAAAGCACAGGTGACTGTGGAGAAGATGGGGAGGAATCAGAAAACCGGAGTGTTAGAAAAGCTGAGCGTGTGTGGTGGAGGCGGGAGAGGGGTGAAGCGATGCCAATCTTCATCTTTCAGGGTAGAAAGTCAATAGTGAATCTGAAAAATACATCAGGAAGCTGAATATAAGCAAAATATCCACAAATATAGACAAATAATTTTTTAAAATTAGTTAAGAGTTGAAATCGGTTCCTCTAAAGAGGGTGAAATGGAGGCAGACAGCAAAAACTTCCAGTTTTTAAACTATGCTTATGTCTCATTTTGATAAAAATAAAATCATTTAAAATACAGCATGAAGGATGAGGAAATAAAGACAACAAGAATAGTCAAAATGTGAGGTTTGCTACCTAAAGAACTAACAGGGCAATAGCTGGAAAAGACGAGATTTCAAACATGTAGGCAACATTATTTCTCATCTGCTATACTGAATATATCTAGGACAAATTGTTTTTAGTTTTAGATCTTGCTCACCTGATAGTGCATTTTGCCAGGTTATTAGCAGGTCATCAAAAGTATCACTTATATGTTGGGTGTGATGGCTCATGCCTATGGGAGGCTGAGGTGAGAGGGTTGCTTGAGACCAGGAGTTTGAGATTAGCCTGGGTAACATGGTTGTGACCCTGTCTCTCCAAATCTAAAAAAAATAGCCAGCTATTCAGGAGGTTGAGGCAGTGGGATCACTTGAGCCTAGGAGCTTGAGGTTGCATCTATGATGACACCACTCCACTACAGCCAAAAAAAAAAAAAAAGGAAAGAAAGAAAGAGATCACTGAGGACAAAGAGCATCTGTCTAAACAGGTTTTAAATGCAAATGAAAGCCCTGTGTTGTAGGGGAAAATGCCACAAAGGACATTTATATTAACGAGGAAGAGAAAGGCACCCAGATGTAAAGGAGGAACGGACAGGCTACCACTGGTGTTTTGTGCAAATGTAATCAGGTTTATGATCAGGACTGCCTTTACCTATGAAGTTGTTAGCTACCAAGCCCTAATGGGAAAGGGTAAAACACTAGCTGCCTATCTTTGGCTGTACAACAAGGAGGCCTGGACAGTGAGAACCATTTTTGTGAACTGGTTCCATCAAAGATCTGTCTCTGAAGTCAAGAAGTACCTGCCAGCAGGACTATCTTTTAAAGTTCTTTTAGTATTGGACAATGCCCTTTGCTACCCAGAATCCTATGAGTTCAACACTGAAGATGCTAACATAGTTTATCTGCTTCCAAACACAGTGTCTCCAGCCTCTGGATCAGGGAGTCATACGAATCTTTTTTTTTTTTTTGAGACAGAGCCTCAAGCTATCCCCCTGGGTAGAGTGCCATGGCATCACGCTCACAGCAACCTCCAACTCCTGGGCTCAAGCGAGTCTCCTGCCTCAGCCTCCCAAGTAGCTGGGACTACAGGCGCCCGCCACAACGCCTGGCCATTTTTTGGTTGCAGCCATCATTGTTGTTTGGTGGGCCCGGGCTGGGGATGCGAACCCGCCACCTTAGGTGTATGTGGCTGGCACCTTAGCCGCTTGAGCCACAGGCGCCGAGCCACGAATCTTTAAGGCTCATGACACACAGTACTCTGTGGAAAGCATTATCTATCAATGGTCTGGAAGACAACCCTGAGAGCAAGAACATTATGAAAGTCTGGAAGGATTATACCATCGAAGATGCCATGATGGTTACAGAAAAAGTCATGAAAGCTAGCAAGTCCAGAACCATTAGTTCACCGGAGAAAACCCTGTCCAGGTGTTGTGCAAGACTTCACAGGATTTCCCAGCAGAGTCAATCAAGGAAATCACCAAACAGATTGTGGGTATTGCAAAAAAGATGAAGGCTGTCAAGATCCAGATCTTGGAGAAACTGAAAAGCTAACAGACATCACACCAGAGGAATTAACAGAAGATGGAGAAAACGTTTCCAAAACAGAGCCAGATAATGAGGAAGATGTAGAAGAAACTGAGCCAGATAACAAATTGATACCAATCTGCCAGGAAGGTTTTGATTACTTTTGACTTCTTTTACAAGGTGGACCCTTCTATGACACAAGCACTAAAGCTAAACAAATGGAAGAAGACTGCTACCACACAGAAACAGTTTTAGAGAAATAAAAAAGCAAAGTCATACACAAACTACAACGTACTTCCAAAAAGTTACACAGTGTGCTGCCTCCCCTTCTACCTTCTTCACCCCTTCTGCCCCTGCCACCCCAGAGATAGAACCAAGCCCCCCCCCCTCAGCCTACTCAACTGAAGATGATCACAATGAAGGCCTTTATGATGACCCAATTTTACTTAATGAATACGTGTATTTTCCTTACTATTTTCTCAATATTTTCTTTTGTAGCGAAAGCTTGACCTTACTTTATTCTAAGAATACAGTATGTAGCACATATGATATACAAAATATATGTTATTTAGCTGTTTATGTTAGCAATAAGACTTCTGGTCAATGCTAGGTGTAGTTACATTTTGAGGGCACCAAGCTATACATGGATTTTCTCCTGTATGGGGATCAGCACCCCAACCCCTGTTCACTCAGCAATAAATAGGAACTACTGATATACCCAACAAAATGAAATAACTCAAAATAACATGCTCATTAAGTGAAGTTGTACACCAAAACCTATATGCTGTGTTAAATGAATTTTCAGAGAACATAAAACCATAGTGATAGTACAGCAGTGGCTGCCTAGGAACATGGTGGGGGCAGGGGACTGACTACAAAGATGTGTGAGAGAATTTACAGGGTAAGAGAACTATGTGAGTGTGGTAAAACACTTGCCAAAAATTCACTGAACTAGTTAAACAGGTAAATTTTATTACATGTAAATTATGACACAATAAAGCTGTTAAAAATGTGTTTAAACTTACAAGTTAACACTTACAAATATACTTATAAATTTACAAATTATAAATTTCATGACATACTAACCCTAATTTCATTAGCAAATCATTTGACAGTTTTGGATTTCTAAACAAAAGCTTTTAGGCCTACTCAGACACTCCAAGACTTCAGATGATTCCACTTAAGATTTTTCAACTTTAGAATGACCTGAGAATGATACACATTTGGTACACTCTTACAATGGGGCTACCTATGGATAAACCCATCATGTGCTAAAATATCGTAAGTCAAAAACACACTTTTGATTTCTGATTTATCTTCAATTTATGATGGTTTTACTGAGACACACCAACATTGTAAGCTGAGGAACATCTGTATATAATATTTTAAAATGTGGTATACATTTCTGCATTTTTAAAATTTCCAGTTCCAAAAAGGTTTTCACACAGCTCCATACTTCTGATTGTAGGCTCAATCCATAAAAGATCAAAAAATGTAATATACCTAGCTTTAGGTAAAGAGGGCCACTAGCATTATTATAGCTATCCTTCTTTTTTTTCCTTTGAGATGGAGTCTCACTTTGTTACCCTCTTTAGAGTGCCATGGTCATAGCTCACAGCAACCTCAAATTCTTAAGCTCAAGTAATTCTCTTGCCTCAGCCTCCCAAGCACCTGCCACAATGCCCAGCTATTTCTTTCTGTTTTTTTTTTTTTTGCAGTTTTTGGCTAGGGCTGGATTTGAACCCACCACCTCTGGTATATGGGGCCAGTGCCCTACTCCTTTGAGCCACAGGTGCCACCCATGCCCGGCCATTTTTTAAGAGATGGGGTTCTACTCTGGGCTTCAGCTGGTATGAAACTTGTGAGCTCAGGCAATCTACCTGCTCAGCTTCCCAGAGTGCTAGGATTATAGGTGTGAGCCACCTCACCCAGTCTAGTTATCCCTAAAGTATAAAGAATGTGTAAAATATAGCTTCTAAATAATGATGAGCCATTCAGTTTAGAGCAAAATGAGATGATATTAAATGGCATTATTTCTGGACTTAGGTAGATGTCTCCTCCTCTT